GTCACTATTTTTGTAAAAAAAAATATAGTTTTCTATGTTTGGGTGTCATTGTTTGGCCAGTTGGACAAAAAGGGCAGTCGTAACTGGCAGTTTTATATAGAAATTGATATATCCATTATCAAGGGGTCTAATAATTGTGAATTAGAGAATCAATTTAGTGATAGTTAACTAGTTTAAAGTTTAGCTGTTGTATTATTTACAAACCAGTCTGTAGATCTATCAACTAGTTCGATGGGAACGACGCAGAAATTCAAGACCTTAAACAAAGAAAAAGGAAGACGCATGATGCATGGAAAAGCGACCCCAACTCGATTGGAAAAAAAAACACTACCAACAAGTAAAAGCAGAAGTTTAACGGCAAACCCGAGCTTCAAAAGTACCAATGGTGGATAACAAAATCAAAGGAAATGCAGCAACTAGTTGAATCCAACTGGACCAGAGCCTCATTTCAGGCTAATACTAATGCTAAGGTGGAATACGGACCAACCACTCGACGTCTCAAGGACCCCTTCCGATCTAAAGATGACACAATACTACTTAAAGACAGCCCTTTCATTAATTCTCGTTGGAAAAAACACTTTCAGGAACTACTTAAGAGAAAATCACAAATTAATAATGACATACCTATTCAACGAAATTTCACACAAACCAATACAACAAGAATTGAGCGAGATGCCCAGATTAGAGGAGGTTGAAAAGGCAATCAGACAACTAAAGAACAATAAGTCAGCTGGTACTGACAGCATTCCTGAATTTTTTAAACAAGGAGGTTCCACACTAAGTGCCTAAACCCACATCCTAATAAGTCAAATATGCATTACTGAGACCTTATTTCTCGTGCTTGGAGATGCCTCTATAGTTGCCATTTCTAAAAAGGCTCAATGTGGAAACTACAGTATATCTTTACTTTCTGTTGCAGAAAAGATATTTTTCTGCGATTGACAAGAAATGTCAGCATTTTTGACTGATTTACAGGTCGCAAAACTCAATATTCTGGTATTTCAATTATGTTTCAATAGTTGCTAAGAAATCAATTAATAACAATACAGAAAACACTTTTCCGGCCTAGGCCGGGAAAGTGATTTTCGTACTGTTGAATATTTGGAACCAAAAGAAACATTTAACAGGTATTTAACCGATCGCAGAAAAAATAGTATGTGTATTTCGGTGGAAAAGCACATTCTCGGCCTTCGCACACACCGTCGGCCGAGAATGTGTCACTTTTCCACCCAAATATACTATTGTCAGGATATCATCGAATCGGTGGATGTCCGCAAAAATACATCGAGATATTCCGCCTGCTGCATGATAATATGAATGCAACCGTCCCAAGAAACGATGGACAAGGAGAATCTTTTCGAATAACCACAGGCGTTAAAGAGGGATGTGTTATTGCACCCACTTTATTTGCTTTATTTATAGGATTCATACTCCACCTTGTCGAGGGTCACCTCACTGTTCTGCAAGTAGCCTTGGCTAATAGCAACACTTCAACAGCTGATCGGTGTGACGCAATACGTGAGCCAAGGATATTGGGAGCTGCAGTTAACCTAACCTAAGAGAAGCATGCTGGTGAGCAGAAGGTTTAATGATATTTATGATGACCGGTCTTCTCTCGGAAGTGTAGCTTAGTTTCTTATGAATAAAGTTGTAATGATTCTATACTAACTATAAAGTGTTTATGCTAAAGAACCCGCTAACATTACATGGTGGCAGTGCGGGTGTTTTCCAAGTGAAGCTTCGACGACTTTATATGAGTCTTGGCAAAATAAAAAATAAACTGTCACCTACTTGTTGAAATGACACAAGAAAAAAAACTTATCATGTCCTCATCAGACTCTGAAGAGAATCCATTCTTACCAGCGTCGTTCAAAATAGTGACCCCAGTAAATGTTAGTCCACCAGAGAAATTTTGTTTTTTTTTACTAAGCTGCATAGCCAGGCCAGCATGGTGGAAGAGATTCGAAGGATTTATGTCAGTTTCAGAAGAAATAGGCGAGTTCGGAAAGGAAAAAAAAGATATTTTCACAAATATCATGGGTGAAGAAGCCGAGGAAGTGATGGTACAATTTCAAAATATTCCTGCTACATACGATGAGGCTTTAAACAGTCTCGAAAGCTACTTTATTCCTAGAAAGAATGTAATCCTCGAAAGATTTAAGTTCAATTCCAGATTAAAGAAACCTGGAGAATCGGTGGACTCTTTCATCACAAATTTGCATTCACTGGCTGAGTATTGTGATTACGGCAATCTTAAAGATGATCTTATTAGGTATGGAATCGTAGTAGGCATGCTTGATTCTAAAACTTCGGGAAAACTCCAATTAAAAGATAAATTGATCCTACAAGAGTGTGTTTTACAGGCAAAACAAGCTGAACTGCAAGCCAATCAGAATAAAGAGTTGCGGGGCAGCAAACGCCAGATGGGAAGTGTGAAGACTGAAAAGGGCATAGCAACAGGATAATCAAATTCCTAATCAAGTTGAGTGAGAAAGACAAATCTTCCCATTCTACAAAGTGTGGATTTTATGGCTTACAACCAAATCATGTCAGAGATCAGTGCCCAGCTAATAAATCTACATGTAGACAATGCCAGAAGAAGGGCCATTGGGCTGTGGTCTGGCGAAAAACCAAGCTGAGATTCATCCACTTGAATAATTTATCTGAGTTAGAGGCCAAGTATAACAGTTTGGATATTGAGGATTCAGAAATTGTAGAGGACACCTTCCTGGGGTCTATCACTATTAATCATAATCAAGTAAATCATGTCGATTCCAACCAAGGAGTGGGTGGCCACAAATTTTTGTATCAGAAATAAATAAAAATTTACATTTTTTATTAGATACAGGTGGAGATATCTCAAGCATTCCTAAAGGATTAGTTAATTCTAGTTTACGTAAACAAATTAAATTGACTGATATAATAGTTACTGGGCCATCTGGGATTACATTGAATCTGCTAGGAACAATATATGTTATTTTAAATTTTCAAGATCAGAGTTTTTGCACAGAGCTTTATGTCATTGATAAGCTGACTAACCTATTTTAGGTAGAACCACAATTAAAAAACAGAAAAATTGAAATTTATTCTCTAATCAGGTGGCCCCTATAAAACTTAATAACTCTGTAAAGAATCACATCATTATGAAATATCCTAAAATCTTTAGTAGTGTCGGTAACTTTAGTAGAGGAAGCTCAAACTTTCATTCAATCCACGAATTGTTTCCATCCTACTTTTAAAGCATCTAAAAGGGAGGAATTGGAACGCTTACAAACTCTAGAAATGATCGAACCTGTGGAAGAACCCTACTGATTGGGTCAGTCCAATCGTGGTTGTCCAGAAAAATTCCATAATACGCCTCTGTGTAGATTATACACATTTAATTAAGGCAGTTTTACGTTCACACTTTCTCATGGGTAAGGTGGAAACTATCGGGTTAGGCCCTCGTGGAGTCGAGTAGTTCACGACGAACTACAAACTTTTGAAGAACTGCGACCCAGAAACGAGACCGAAAAGAGGGACCGCAGAAAGGAACGGAAGAACAGAGGAAGAGACAATGCTGGGTGTGCCAAAGTCTGTGGAAAAGTGTGCGGCACCAGAATTGGACAATAAGAATAGAACAGAAGATAATGATACTCGGTATCGAGTGATCACCTATGATATAAACCACCCAACACCATATAATGGAATGCATACTTTGTCTTCAATACGGAAGAAAATTCTTGAAAGGCCTCCTTTTGTGAAGAACAAAAAAAAAAAAGGAATACATTTCTTCAAACTTTGTTTCATTAATAAAGTTTGTAGAATCCTACACAGATTTATAATGTGGCTTAAAGAAACAGTATTATTTCAAATACTTACAGTATATAAACCGTTCGTTTGGTATTCTATGCAAAAAGACCTTATTTCATACTTCACTGCTTATTTTGGGTAACCTCTCTGGGATATTTTTACTGTTTCACATTCTTTTGGTTTTTAATTATCTGTCACCGCAAAAGGCACACGATTATTTACATAATGGGCTCCGTGACACTCTGGTTTTGTTGAAAAAATTCTCACCGTGGGATTTTGAGTCGAGTACATTATTATAAATCAGAGTCACACTTTTGAGTAAATTTGTACAATACCTATAACGATATGTTTGTCACCAAATGCAGATCCTTCACTGAATTTCATAAGCTTCAATAAGAATAGTCATGAATAGGTTAAAAGATGAAGGACATAAAAATCTCTCTAGCTTTGTCTTCAAAGTTTAGTCAGAAAACTTAGCTCATAGAAACGATCATTATTAAATTTAACCTTTTCCTCTTGAATACAATTTTTTTTCTTATTGAAGATACACAAAGTAATTGTTCTTCAAAAGTAAAACCATCTTAAGAATATATTTTTTTAATACATGTATTTTTCAACAACAAACATTAGTTATTGCAAAATCAAGCAACTCATATACGTGATCACGAACCTAATGATTCTAGTAGCTGATTTTTTCTTTAAAGATATTTACAAATGAGGACATGCTTACTTAGGTATATCTATACTAACTCAAGGTAATTTCAGCAACAAGTTGACAAGCCCAACCTGTATAATCAACATAAATATATTATACACCTTATAGACATTAGCAAGGACATTTGAGTGATATTTTAGAAGATATATTTTTTGTCTACTACTTGATGTGTAATTTTGATAAATGTCTTATAGGATTTGTTCACCTTTTTGCCAAGGCTGTTTTGTGTGGAATGTATAGGTAGACGCAAGACTATAAATAGATTTTAGAACAATTTAACTAAAAAAAAAAAAAAAAACAATCAATCTAAAACAATAAATTAAACAGTATTGGTAACGGATTCAAACAAAAAACATTCCAATCAGTTCAAGAAAACCATATTCTGATAAACCAAAAGGCGTGATAACAATTCGTGATAGGTCATTTTGATCTAGGAAAATACTGAGAATATTAAATCTAAAATAATTGTTTCCCGACGTAATAGTTAACTTACGTGACTCAAACTGGCCTTATAAGCAATCACATAAACCCCGAACAGAACCATCAAAATCCCAAGCGAAAATTGCAAAATCCCTAGAAGCATTACGGCCCTATTTGGCGTCATAAATTTCACACATCCAGATGGGTTTTTGTCCATGACCGAGCCAGTGGGAGAATCTTGGGGTGTTTTGCATATGAGCTGGTCGGTCGACAATTTTGTGGATATCGTCATCGTGTTGTCAGTCTTTTTTATTTGTTTGAATTGCTTGTCGATTGGAGGAAGGTCCTTTTGATCGGTGGCAGAGGGAGGTGGAGGAATTTTTACTTCGGGTTGATCGTCTATGGATATTTCCATTTTGATGCCTGATGTGGTGAGGTTGTGATCTGAAATGATAATATAAAAAGAATTTAGTTTTTAGATGTAAAATAATGTATGTATATATTTTGTTGATGCTCTATTTCCATCGGCCAGGAAGCAAATAAGTTACCTCATCGGGTACAAAAGGTTTGTGTTTCTTGGATAAAAGTACTATACAGGGTGTCCCAGCTAAAACGAAACAGAGGAGTTTTTGCATATTTAGAATTATTTAAATGAAAAACACTCGGTCACGTCGATTTTTGCATGAAACGGGACAACTTTCAAATTCATCTTTAATAACCTACCTGTCATCCCTTAGCGGGGGCGCGTTCAACCCCTAAAAATTAAATAGGGAAAGTGAGTCTAATGACCCCTTAAATGAAGGCTCTTTAAATTATCTTTTCAACGGTACCACATTTATTGACATTTATGTCAAAAAATTTGACAATGACGGGTCCCACCCAAAACGAAACAAGGCAATTTAAAGGCATTTCTTGTTTTAAAAGTAAAAAAACGGCTAACACGTGAAATTTGTGTTCGACTGGAAATTAATCTGCGAATATTTTTCAACCCCTAAGTTGAAACCCCACGCGGCGGTGACATCCACCCTTAGGCCCAGTTGTACAATCTTGGTTCAAAACAGAGTTCAGCTGAACTCGACTGGTACTTGAACTTCCCCATTTGAAATGCATTGCTGTCAAACTTGATATACCTAATTTGATTAATAGCTGACAGCAATATTTTTCAAATAGGAAAGTTTAAGTACTAGTCGAGTTCAGTTGAACTTTGTTTTGAACCGAGATTGTACAACTGGGCCTCAAAGTCTCAAATGGAATGAGGGGATGAAAGGCACCTCATTTGTAAGTTTATTGCTGCTACTTTTCAACGCTGTCTCATTTCAGGAATATCCTTGAGATTTTCGTGGAAAATTATGAAAGAATTAAACTTCTCTAGAAAAATTCTATTAAAGACCTCTAATATACAAAATAACATCGAAGATAACAGAAAAAATGTACACAAATTTCACGTGTTAGCCGTTTTTTTGCTTTTAAAACGAGAAATGCCTTTAAATTGCCTTGTTTCGTTTTGGGTGGGACGCGCATTGTCAAATTTTTTGACATAAATGTCAATAAATGTGGTACCGGTGAAAAGAGAATTTAAAGAGCTTTCATTTAAGGGGTCAGTCGACCCACTTTCCCTATTTAATTTTTGGTGGTTGAACGCGCCCCTGCTAAGGGATGACAGATAGGTCATAAAAGATGAATTTGAAAGTTGTTCCCTTTCATGCAAAAACCGACGTGTTCGAGTGTTTTTCATTTAAATAATTCTAAATATGCAAAAACTCCTCTGTTTCGTTTTAGCTGGGACAGCCTGTATAGATACCTATAGACATAGACTTTCAGTTAATCAATTCCATTCATTGATTTGTAGAATTGATTGAACTTACAGGTAGAGTAAAGTAGCTTAAGCGCTGCACTTTGGGTGCCATTTACGACTTTTAATTATCTTTCTTCGTCTGTCGTCTATGCTTTTCAGAGTTGAAGCTATTTCACTCACATTGTCAATTTATTATTCCTGAAACTACTCAATTCAAATTCTATAAATTCTAACTTCATCAGTATTACGATTATTTGCAATTTTTTTTATAACATCCGCATACCTAAAATTCACTAACATCATCAACATAAATATCAAACAATGATGGTGCATTTTGAGAAATGCCGGAAGGGGCATACACTGTACCTAAAGCAGAAGATTCGAATAATAATTTAGATAGGTAAATAAGGATAAATAAGAGGCTTGATGCAGATGAACCGTTTTTCAATAAGAAGGTAAATAGTCAGTCCATCGACCCTTTGATCCTATCCAGGATCAATCTTGATTCTCATCTTCTGCTCCCTCTTTAGCCTATCACCCATTTTTAGATATAGGCCTCTCACTTCTCTTCTCTGCCTTGTTTCCGCTTGTCGGCTCTTGGTCTCCACTCCAGAATTTTCTTCGTCGAACTCGCGTCTCGTTTTGCAGCCTGTTCGGCCAATCTCTATTTTTAACTTGTTATCCATTCTATAAACAATCCAAGCATTGATATCTTCATAAGCCTCTGTTCCATTCTGAACCTGTTTGCCAATGCTTTGGTGAGAGTCAAGGTCTCTGCTCCATAGGTAGACCACACTGATTGAATACTTTCCATTTCAGAGTCGCGGTATGTCTGTCTTGAAAACATTTTGCATTTTGCCGTATGTTGACCATCCTAGAGGTATTCTTCTGGACAGTTCACAGGTTTAGTTTTGTACCTTAGGTACCTATTTGTCCACTATTTTTATGTGACTATTTTCTATTTGTGTCTTCGTACTGGAAACCAAGTTCGTCATCATTCTAGTTTTGGAGACAATTATCTTTAACCTCACATCTTTCATGGAATTGTGAGTTCATCGATCACGTTCGCAAAGCTGAGGTTTTCTTTATCCATGTTTATTTTTTCTAGTACCTACCCAAGACATTTTTTCAAGGCGTGTTAGAGAACTGTAATAACAACTTGGAAGACATAGTGTCGCCTTGTCTGACTCCTCTTCTAATTTCAATTTTTCGAATGGTAGAGTGAACATTTATTGCCGTTGTGTTTTTGTATATAATGCCCGTATTACATCTGTGTATTTTTCCGAGTATTTATTCATGTAGTTCAGGGTGCCAACATTATTTTGTTGTTCATAATGCTGATTTATGTTGCGTTTGAAGTTTTTCGGTTGTCACCCTGAACTACATGGAAAAATACACAGATGTAATACGGGCCTAAGTATTCTTGATAATTTCGCAGTATTTCTGATCAATTCTACACTCTTGTAATGCTCCTCAAGATTGCAGGAATTTCCACCGTGTCGAATGCCTTTCGAAAGTCGATAAACATCAGTAAGTACTGAAGGCCGGTTGTTTTCAATGCACTTTTCTATAGGACTTTCTAGACACTGGAAGTAGTCGTTCGTACCGAAACCGGATCGGACCCCAGCCTTTTGATAGAAGTCCAGTTTGACTTCTAGTCGATACGATAGTTTGTAGAGTAGTGCTGATCCGTCTATTTCTATTGGCACTTTACCTACTCCATCATCCCCAAGAGCTTTATCGAAGGTGCATCTTCTTTATTCTTTTCTTGATTACGGACTTCTCGTTGAAAATATTTTATTGGATTCACTGTCTGTTGATTTCTATATAAAGTAAAAAAGTTCACTATGTGAATCAACACCCTGTTGGATGTCTCTTTTCCGGTTTCGTCTTCAAGTTTGAAGATTTCTTTTTTTTTGCTTGCACATGTTCTCTTCATTATTTTCATGCTTTAACTTTCTCCAATAGTCTGTGTAACTTCGTTGTTTTTGAAGTTTCTCAAATCTTTCTTGATGGCTTTGGAGCAGTCTTTGTTAATTGTGTTGATGGTCTGTTCGTTGGTGTCTCTGTTGGCTTGTTAGATGTCTTCTATGTTCTATTTATGATGATATAATTTTGAAAAAACGCTTCACAGTTGTCATAAGCAGAGAAGAATGGAAAGGAAACATCACATCCATTCCATTCAAGAAATGAACAAGGGAGTGGAGCCGGAGTACCTGGGCATGGAATCAAGTTCTCCGAAGCAATGGACAAACACCCAGACATATTTTAGGCGGAAATAAATGCTATAAGTAGATGTGCTGGGTTCAATCTTGACAGAAACTACAAAAAGAGAGAAATTGTCATATTCTCAGACAGTCAATAAGCAGCCATCAAAGCGCTGAGCTCGCCAATAATCAGCTCCAGAATGGTTTGACAATGCCTGGACAAATTAAACAAACTGGGCAAAAATAACAAACCCTTCACTGGACACCGGGACACGCAGGGATCGCAGGTAATAAGAACGAGGACCATTTGGCAAAATTGAGAGCACAAATCCGCTTCCAGGACCAGAAACTTTCTTTGGCATAGGGACGCACACCTATAAGGAAGCTTTCAGAAGGAAAGAGCCGACCAAATGGATCAGCCTCTAGAACAGCTTCCAGGGTTAGGGCAAACAAAAATGTTTCTTGGGCCCTCTCATCAAGGAAGATCAAAAGACCTTAAATCACTGACTAAAAACTATCTTCGTATTCTCATTGGTTCCTTACAGGCAACTGCCGGTTAAGAGGGCACCTTGAGAGAATTCGAATCGAAAACGGCAGATGCCGGTTCTGTAAGGAAGGGAAGAAATCACATCTTATCACAAGATATCACATCTTATCCTGCTCCTGACTCCAATAGAATATTCTCTCCCAACTGTCGATGTAGCATGTCTGTATCAATAATCTGTCTATATCGAAAGTGATATGTGGTAAAGTCTTTCCAAAGTCAGATGAAACAAGGTGAAGGTAAATCACAACTGGTGACCGAATATTTTCATAAGAAATGCACTGCCACTAGTCAGCCACCAGTTGCAATTTATTATTACTTTGTTTCAATCGACTCTGGAAATACTATACCTATATATCTTCCAAAGCGGCAGTATTTTCAATTTTTAGCTGGTAATTCATGTATCTCCACATCGAAATCTCGCTTTGTAATAGGTCACGATAGGAACTTTTCATACCTCGATTTTGTTCTTCTCCAATTCTTTTGTTCCATTTTAATTTTTTATGCGCATGATTGAGTAGGTACCGAGTCTTGGTTTTGACACAGAACCTGTATTCTGGATGCGTGTCTTGATGTGTTTTCTTATCATAAATATTATGCCTCCGTATGTTTCGTTATCCGGGCATTTATAGTACTTATAGTCGATTTCATGACGAGTCGATCATTTTCCTCTCCCAGAAATTGAGACTGACCGGATAATCGATGTCTGATTCTGGATATTTGGTTCTACCCATCTGGGGTAGGCAAGGTAAGCTACTTAGTATATAGAAACTTTTAGAATGTCCTGTACCTTATTACCTTTATTATTTGCTTGACACTCTTTTGAAGTTGGTTATAAGCTCTGTGTAGTAAGAATTTGAGTAAGTAGTGAAAATCATGAGGAGCGAATGGTTATAGA